AAATATTCGGACTTGTACCGAATTATAATTTTAAGAAACAAGTGTTAATTTCACGTGAAAAATGGAAGACATTTATTTTTACTTGTTGTCTTATTATTTTCTGTGTTATTTCATCAATTGGTGATGTTTTATTCACATCCAAAACTAGATTTATTATTGATATACTTTCAATAATATGTTTAATTGGTGGTTTGGTGCAATTTGCTTTGAGAGTAAATCATGTTTACAAACAGTTATTTTTACAATTATTGAGGATTTTATTAAATTCACATAGAATTATTAATAAATATCATCATAAAAAGTTTGGTGGACATGATTCATATGTTTATTTATTACATTTCATATTATTCTTTCTTATTTTATCAGATTTTGCAATTTGGTACTTTTATTTCGATTTTAATCTATATTTGTATGTTTTTGCTTATGAAATTTTGGTTTATTTAAATTTTATTGGTGGTTTATTAGAAGTTACGATTGTTCTCGCGATTAAAAACAGATTTGTGATGTTAAATTATATATTGGATGAAGAATATCAATACGAAGAGAAAGTAAATGATTTATTATTGATGCATCACTGGTTGTATACAGCAAGTGACTGTTGTAATGTGCTCTTTGGGTGGCATATAATGTTGAGCAATTTACAAGCTATTTTAAATACGTTATCCTGTATTACTTTGATCATTATTTTGGATATTTATACATCTCCTGTGGCTATGGTTGTTATTATAAACTGGACTTTATTCTGTATGGTAAATATAACTTATTTTTTATAGGTTATGTTTTTAACAGCTGTCAAATTGAAATAGCGGTGTTGCCATGTTCTTAACCTCAAATTTTTTGTTTATATTTTTTTAATTAAATGTTAATTAATTAGTGTCTAGTAGTAGATCATTAAAAAAAATGAAAACAACTTCTCAATAATTAAACAATTCAATTACATTAATGAAAAAAATTAATATTTGTATAAAAACTAGTTGTTATCCATTAATCTAAAAATGCAAGCCGAACTAAAAGTATATCACCTCTGCAATACTTTCGGCCTCTTACCAAAGTATAACTTTAAACATAAAACAATCACAATACAAAAATGGAAGACATTATTATTGATATGTTTCTTCAGTGTTGTAATCAGTATATCCGCGACTGGAATTAAATTTAGTTCGAAAACAATACGGACTGTAACCGGAATTCTTGCATTATCATCACTAACATTTGGTTTACTACACTTTATATTAAACTCCAACATTTTTAATACACCAATATTATTATCATTATTGAAATATCTCAGTGATAGTCATCAAATAATGCAAAAATACTGCAAGAAAAGATATTCCAACATGAATATATTCATCTGGGCATCACATTTATTTATACTAACAATAACATTATCTGATTTTATATCTTCACTTAGATTTGGACCGGTATACAATTATATTTATGTATTTACCTATGAAATTTTAATTTATATTAACTCCGTTGTGGTTTTATTGGAAACATCAATCTCACGAGCGATAGAAAACAGATTTAAAATGTTAAATAAAGTGTTCAATGAAGATTATCAAACTGTCGATAAAATTGACGATTTAATTCTGGTGCATCAACAATTATTCAGCGCAAGTGATTGTTTTAATGTTTTATTTGGTTGGCATATATTGCTGAATAACATGCAGGCCGTTTTTAATACGTTATCGTGTATAACTTTGTTTGTGCTATGGGATGATTACAAGTTGTTGGGTGTAGTGATACTTCTAGCTTGGACTACTCACTGCGTGGTAAATATTTACATTGATTTAAAGTAGGATTAGTATATGACGCGCCATCTAGCGGTTATATATAGTGATAAGATTAGCTAGCAGTGGGTATTCGTCGTCTCGCTGCAGTTGTTCCGCTGCGAGGCAAATCACCACAAAAATAATTTAAGGCTGCGGAAATAAATAAATTTGAAAAAAGATTACATTGATTTATATAAGTTTAGTCTTTTTACAATGCATTTATGAATGTAATTTGAATGAAAAGTTGCCTAAAACGATTGGGTAACCAATTATTGCTTATTTGATTGTTAAAAATGATACAATCATTAAAATTACACTCACGAACACATAAGATTCTTTTATTTCTTTAAATTTATTTATGTCTGCATAAAAATTAACTTGAAACTTTGATTTTTCATTTTTTTCTCACTACAAAACGATATTTACTCTTATTTTAGTACCTAGTGCGACATCTGTCGGTAAAATTTAGTACTTCATATCATAACAAACACGAAAAACGTTAAATTTCATGCTTAAAATGAGTTTTCAACGTACGTAATTTACTGTTTTCCTCCCTAAATATGCAATATACATATTAACGATAATATAAATAGTATTCTGGTGTTTTCATGCAGAAAAACATTAAAAAAATGAAATTTATTAATAGACAAACGACACGAACACATAATTAACGTAATTAGACTCAGCCCGTGTGGCTATGTTGATTATCTTCCCGGAATTATTTCAATTAATACAATATGCATAATTAAACACTCCTCTGCGCATTAGTAGATCATTCGCATCAAGATGAAAACCGAACTAAGAGTGCCGTACTTCCTGTGCTATATTTTCGGTTTATTTCCCAAATACAACTTCGAAACCAAAACAGTTTTCACACAAAAATGGAAAACAATTATTCTCGCCATAATAATAATTATTTTAATAATATCATCCGCGTTCGGAGTGAATTTTCACGTCAATTTAATACGAGTACTAATTGAAAACATGGCTTTAATCTCCTTATCACTCGGATTACTAAATTTTATTTTGAGTACAAACATGAACAATGTTGCAATTTTAAAGAATCTGCTTGAAAATCTCATTGAATCTCATGATACGATGGAGAAATATTGCAAAGAAAAACATTCGAATATGAATCTTTTTATTTTCATCACACATTTATTACTTTTGGCTATAAGTTTGACTGATTTAACGACTACGATTAATGATTATGGAGCAGTACAATACATATTATTTATCCCTTATGAAATATTAACTTATTTCAACTTCTCGGCGGTTTTAATGGAAGCATCCATTTTATTAGCGCTAGAAAACCGGTTGAAAATGTTAAATAATGTGTTCAATGAAGAAAATCAAACGGACGAGAAAATTAATGACTTAATCTTGGTGCATCAACAATTATCGAGTGCCAGTGATGGGTTTAATCAAGTTTTCGGCTGGCATGTTTTGCTTAATAATATGCAAGCGATTTTTAACGCGCTGGCGTGTATTTGTTTGTTTGTCACGACGGAAGAATATAATATTATGGATCTGGTTTTTATTGTGTTGTGGACGGTGCATTGTATGGTAAATATTTTAGTTTTAAGAATACGAACTGAATCTGCTGTATTGTGCGGTGTAAATATCATGTTTGACTGTTTTTATCGGTTTATCAGGCGGTTGGCCGCCAAGTTGAGATGTGAATTCTCACGCGAATACTTGTTTTGCGATATAACTTGATATAAGGCATTGTGCACGCACTACTACTAACAAATAAACACGTACGCGAATTTAAATTGAAGAATAGTGCATTGTAGCGCACTCTATGATCAATTTATTGAGTTATATTGAGTTACATGTGTGTAAACATTGGTTTCAAACAAGACGTGAATTATTTCACTTTTTAACACTTTTAATTGCATTTTTGGACTTTTCACCCCATGAAATTCAATTATTTTTAATTCTTATCTAATACAGAATTTTCTATTCTCTCATAATATTTATTCCGCTGATTTGTATCTCTTTTAGTTTATGAAATATTCGCAATGGAAAAAAAATGGTCAAAATTGGAAAATATTACTTTTTAACACTTTTAGTCGCATTTTTCAATCTTGTACTCTATAAAATTAAATCATTTTAAATTCTTATCTGATAGAGAATTTTCCAATCTTTCATAATCAACGATTCGTTAGTAGCTATCGCGTTTAATATAAGAGATATTAATTTTCAAAAATCGTTGAAAAAAAGTATCAAGCACCCCCCCTTGGCAATTTTTTTCTTAAGACATAAAATTTCATCTCTCAGATTTCCCTTTTAACAATCCTATCTGATAGAGAAAAGTTTGTAGATTAAGACGCTGCGATCAGATTCTATTTATCTCTTTTAGTTTGCGAGATATTCGCGATTGAATAAAATGGGCAAAAATTGCAAAATGTCACTTTTTAGCATTTTTAGTCGTGTTTTTTTACCTTTTACTGTAGGAAATATAATTATTTTATATTTCTATCTGATAGAGAATTTTTCAATCTTTCATAATCAACAATTCGTTGGTAGCTATCGCGTTTAATATAAGAGATATTAATTTTCAAAAATCGTTGAAAAAAAGTATCAAGCACCCCCCCTTGGCAATTTTTTTCTTAAGACTTAAAATTTCATCTCTCAGATTTCCCTTTTAACTATCGTATCTGATAGAGAATAGTCCGCAGATTAAGACGCTGCGATCAGATCTTAAATATCTCTTTTAGTTTACGAGATATTCGCGATTGAATAAAATTGGCAAAAATTGCAAAATGTCACTTTTTAGTACTTTTAGTCGCGTTTTTCGACCATTTACTGTAGGAAATATAATTATTTTATATTTCTATCTGATAGAGAATTTTGCAGTCTTTCATAATCAACAATTCGTTGGTAGCTACCTCTTTTAGTTTAAGAGATATGAATTATCAAAAATCGTCGAAAAAAGGTATCAAGCACCCCCCCCTTGGCAATTTTTTTCTTAAGACTTAAAATTTCATCTCCCAGATTTACCTTTTAACTATCCTATCTGATAGAGAATAGTTCGTAGATTAAGACGCTGCGATCAGATCCTATTTATCTCTTTTAGTTTTCGAGATATTCATAATTGAAAAAATAAAAATGCTATTTTTTGCCTTTAAACATTACATAGCAAATATTTGGCATTGAAACATAGTGCAATTTCCTGTTGTTGATATTCGATTACAAATTAGATAATTGCTTTGCAAAACATACCCATTAAATCGCCTGGAAGTCCAGTAGCAGCCATGGAGTCCGAGTTTAAATTGGTGTTTAATCTCTGCAAGTTCTTCTGGCTTCTTCCCGAATACAACTGGAAAAATAAAAAATTCACCGTGATAAAATGGAAAGCAGTCATCATCGAATATTGTTTACTACTTTCATTTGTTTATTCGCTAAGCGGCAACCCTGACGAGTGGGAAGTGCCAAAAACGTTTATAGTTTTCAATTTTCTTGGTTTTTTATCTCTTTACATCGGAATAACACAATTAATATATAAATTAAACATCAAAAACGTATCTAAACTAACTGAGTTAACCTCTAAACTAGACTGTACTAACAATGCATTACAAACATTCAAAAATAATCCATTTCCAAATTATTTTAAATTCATTTTTATTGCTCATATGATTTTAATCGCTGTGGCAACTTTCGATTTTTATATGTGGTTCACATTATTCGGTATGGATCAATACAAATATGAAATAGCAATGAAAATAATGGTTTACTTAAATTTCGCGTTGATTTTACTGGAAACCATCATAAAACTATCAATTAAAAACCGTTTTGAATTATTTAATACGCTAATAATCAGTGGTGAATACAACAATGAGAAAATAAACATATTAATCGGAGTGCATCTTAATTTGTGTGATATCATAGACTGTTATAACGATTTATTCGGATGGCATATGTTCTATAATAATTTACAAGCCATTTTCAACGCGTTGTCATGCATCAGTTTGTTTATCATCGCTATCGACATGTTTGTCGTTGGTGCGGTTGATCTTCTCTGTTGGACGATCTATTTTCTGGTCAGTACATTAATCTAATTAATTAAAAACAAACAGTCATTATCCACGAAAGGAAATGAATGTCAATTTTTACTTTTATTCATTAGTTGATTATTTTCGGTTGAAAAATGAAGAATGAATTGAAAATTCCCTATAATATCGCTAAAACTTTAGGAATATTCCCGAAATATCATTTAAAAACCAAAAGTTTGAATTCATATAAAATAAAAACAGTTATAATAATATTAATAATAAATTTAATGTTTATTTTGTGTGGAATTAATGTAAATTCAAACACAAATTTACTCATGAAGATTATTGATAACATTGCATGGGTATCAATTGGTATAGGTTTACAACATTTTGTTTTAAGCACGAATATTATCAATATCTCAATAATAAATGGGTTATTCACCTTATTAAATGAAAATTTTCAAGTGATTCAAAAGTATTCGAGTGTAAAAGTGTCTAGAATTTATATTTTTATCATTTTCACGCATTTATTATATATTTGCTTGATGATATTTGATTTTTCTATATCATTGGGTGGTTATTATGTGAATGTATATTTTTATTTTGCTGCATCAGAGTTGTTAAGTTACTTTAATCTCGCTGGTGTTATGATGGAAGTAGCAGTGCTTATGTTGGTCTTGAATCGGTTCAAAGTTTTAAATGATATTGTGGATGAAAAATGCAAAATGAGTATAAAGTTCTGGATCTTGTGCTGGCACATCATCAATTGTCTACGGTCTGTGGATATTTCAATATTGCGTTTGGTTGGCATATTTTATTGAATAATATGCAAGCGATATTTAATGCATTGTCGTGTATTTGTTTATTTGTTATATCGAAAGAGATTGTGATTGTGGATTTGGCTGTTATCAGTTTATGGACGTTACACTGCGCGGTAAATATTATAATAATATAATATTAAGTATCAAGTGTGCTAAGTAGCACTTTAACCATGTTTAGCGACGTGATTCTTATATATTTCTATTTTCACTTTATTTCCACTTGCAGATTTGTATTGCACCGTAGGTAAATGCGCAGGCGTAAGCTCCACCCCGTGACTAAAGTACTTTAGTCACGGTTTTGGCCGTTTGTGATTAAATTACCACTTTTCTGTCTCAAAACCGTAGAAAAAGTGAAAATAAACAAAAAAATTCAAATTTAAGACACAATATCAGTATTGCTGCTATTTTTGTGTAATTAAACATTTTTTTCTGTAAAAACACTCCGCACATTTAATTAATATTTGGTTACGTCAATTCTCTCTGCGCAATACAAACATACCAACAGTTAATTAATTATTTCCTGTTATTTCATAACATTCTAAATATCAATATTAAAGTAATACCATCATGGCGCACAGACAACTCGCGCCACTTTCCAGCATTCTCACATTTTTATCAATCCTCGGAATTTTTCCATTTTACAACCGCAAACGAAAAATATTCCAACCAAAAATAATCTACGTTTCTCTCATAATAATAATATCACTCTCCATAGATATATTTTCTTTATATAACGTGGTGGTATATTTAAAACACAACGAAAGCCCCGTGTCATTTTTACTCACACCTATTTTAGTAAGACTTTTAAATTTACACTTAAGCATCTGGTTTAATTACAGCGCTGGTAAATGGCAGCAGTTTTATAACACTTGTGATACACTCGACAGTGACTTAAAACAATTTCATAACATAACTGTGAAAGTTTATTCAAATGTGACTTTGAAACTCTGCGGATTGTTTTTCATTTATTTAACGTGCGTCTCATGCGATTTTTATATGTATTTAGTAATATTAGAATCAAAAGAAATATATGTGTTTTATATAAGTGAAATTGTCGGTGTGTTTATATTACACATTTGTGACTTTAGTAAATGTTTGGTTTTTTTCATGGTGCGGAGATATACGGAAGCTTTAAATAAAGCATTTGAACAGATAAATTATAGTACTTGTCGATTGGCAGTGGGTAAACTAGAAAATTTAACAAAAATGCATTTGAACATTGTGGATCTCTTCGGGTTGTTGAATTATTTATGGGGTTGGAATATTTTTCTGGAGACGGTGAACGCTGTTGGGTATTTGTTGAGATTTGTGAATTGTGCGATATATAACAAAGTATGGCATCCATTGGAGTATATTATTATGGTTGTTTGGATTGTTTATTTTGTTGTAAGTTATAATTTGGTAGTAAAATTAAGAAAACCCGCGGCTTCACTCGCGAATATCTAAAATAATGAAGTTGCTTCCGTTCGCGTCTGTAGTCACAGAAGAAGTAACAATGAAGTACAATGGCGGGAAGTTTAAAATGGCTGAAAGTATAGTCTATGGAAGTATAGTGTACAGTCTCCATAGTGTAGTCAATTGGATTTGATGTTGACGTAGCTGTCGGTAATACAGTGTGATAATACAGTGTGATGGTACTATAGTACTTAGGTTTGAGCTTCATTGCTGGAATGCTAGATGGCGTTAAAGTAGTCAAATAGCCAGATGCAGAGGTATTATTGGCTAACAATTTCTTTATTTTATTTAAAAAATAATTTTTTTTATTATATAAAAAGTAGCCTATAACCATTCGGGGACCACTAAGAATATGTGTACAAATATTCATGATGATCGGTTAAGTAGTTTTTGCGTGAAAGTGTAACAAACATCAGGACTTTCGCATTTATAATATTAGTAGGGTAATTAGACAAATATTAATGAATTTAATCGATTTATTCATTAATTAATATCTTGGTTATTAGTTCTTTTGTTTTTCTTATGAACATTAGTATTAATTAATATTGTGTTGATAAGTAACTTAAGAAAACACAAAACAATTTTTTTAAACGTTTCTTTGTGATATTTTGTTATTTTCTTGGTATTTTAGCAAAATTAGAGTTCAATAATAATAAAAATATTATCTGGGTATTTTTAATTAATACACTTTTATTTTGGCGATAATTTTTGTTGTTTTAACGAAAAAATTCCGCCGTTTTCATGAAAATAAAATTTATAGAAGTTAAGTTATTGTTATTTGAAAAATATTTACTTATTCTTATGGGTAATTACAAAAATATCAATTAATTTAATTGATTAATCATCTAATTAATATCTTGGCATAAAACATTAACTTTCTTTTCATTACAACACTAGTATTAATTAACATGGTGTTGAAAATGGACGCTAGTAAAACCCAACACAAAACTTTAAATTTCCTCCTAAAACTTTGTTATTTTCTCGGAATTTTACCGAAATTCGACCAAAATAACAATAAAAACACCCTCAGAGTAGTTTTAATCAGTGCAACATTTATTTCCGCGATAATTTTTGTTGTAGTAATGAAAGAATACCGCCGTTTTCTTGAGACTAAAGTTTTTAAAATTCTCAATCATTTATCCGATGTAGATATGGTCCTTTTAGTGATTTACTCAATAACACAGTTTGGTTATTACAAAATTCAAGAAACAAATCAATTATTCACACGTTTAAAACAACTTCTTTCGTTAATCCCACGCGAAAGTAATAAAACAGTGATTAAATATAAATTTTACGCTGGTTTTACTTTTATCGGCACAATAATCGGCATGATAGCAACAAGTTTAATTTGGTCAACACAAAATTTTAAATATCACTTCTTAGAAGTCGCATTTCTGGATCATATATTAATGATCTACGTACAAATAATTATTTTACTCATGTGGTACATCTGGAGTGTTATTAGAAGATCTCTAAAAGAGTTTAATAAAACTTTAGAGACGAATAAAATTACTTTTGCTGAATCGGATAAATTAATCGAATGGCACACGAATATTTGCGATTGTATTGCGTTGGTAAATGATATCTTCGGCTGGATATTGTTTTTAAGAACTCATACATATTTTAAACATGTTATATTTCGATATTAATCTGAAAGTTATTGAAATATTCACTGCGTTTCATTGTTTGTTCAGTTCTTGGACTCTTTTCATTGTAGTGAGTAAAAAAACAAAACAAAAATATAAAAATGAATTGAGTTTAACTAAAATATAAAAATAATTAAATTTAATATTAATTTTTACATATTTTTGCAGATTCAAGGAGTTGTCGTAGCGACAATGTGCGAGAAAGTCGTGGATGAAGGCAAAAAAACCATAACAATCAGTTACAAAGCTTTGTATCGCTATTCCAACATACCTGCCATCCGCGAGAAGTTGTTTATATTGGCTCATCAAGCGACAGCACGATGTCCACAATTCTCAGCGGCTGGATTCTTCAACGTCGATTTTGCGATGTTATTCACTTTCGTTAACTTAATCACCACTTATGTTATAGTCATCATTCAATTCTCCGAGAAAGATAAATCATAACTGTAGAATCTGCTATTTGTTGTACGCGTATTGTTGTTTTGTATGTTACTAACGTGTGAATGTAGTTTTGGATAATAATAAGATTATATATTGTAAAACGATACTGCTAGCGACGTCTAGCGGTGATTTTATGAACTTTCCTGGTGGAGTAGGGTTGGGTATACGTCGTTTGGCCTCGAGCCAATTCGCCGTTTAAATAAAAAACGTTTTTTTGATAATTTAACAAAGAAATAAATAAATTTATGAGGATATTACATTGATTTATTAAAGTTTATACTTAAATCTTTAATATATGAAAAATTTGTGCATGTAATTCAATTATTTCTGCGTCAAATTATCAAAAAACAAAAATTTTTCCTGCGGTGAATTGGCTCGCGGCGAAACGACGTATTCGTAAATATAAATTGTTGCGATGAGTTTTTCGTTTATAATACAAGGTCATAGATAAAATCAACGCAATGAATACTCATTATACAAAACGTAACAAGTTCATCAAAAGTTCACAAACAGATTAGATAATAACATAATATAATAATTATATCATCGCAAAGAGAACTTTTTCTAGTTCTTCGCAGTTCATTTATTCACATCGCGAGTTGAATATAATTAAATAGAAATTTATTTATAAAATGCGTTTGCTTAGATTATATGAAACGTGTTGTGCGCGTAACGTGAAATTAGCACGCGGATATCATAGTGATGGAGTATTCGGATACAAACCAAGAGTAATTAATCAGTTTAATGGTATTTATTACTAATTAAACGTGTAATAATAAAGTTTTAAGATTTTCTTTTGTAGTTGATCGTTCTACGGTTGAAAAACGTAATAATAATGGCAATTTTCAACGATTGGTTGATGCGTACCGCACACACGGACATAAAATAGCGAATGTTAATCCAGTGGCATTCAATAAACAACCTAGGTATTTATTATTACATTATTACGTATATAAACCGACCTTGGAAAGAAAAATGTACAGAACTACACAAAATTTTATGAATTCAACCAGGTTTCAGAATGAATTAGACCCACAACAATACGGATTTAATACCAGCGATAAACTTAACTTTGAAGGCACTTTAAACACGAATATAACTCAAGGATCAGTAGAAGATGCTGTTGACTGTTTGCAAAAGATTTATTCATCGACAATAAGCGCTGAATTCATGTATTTGGAGAGTGAAGAAGAACGTGAATGGTTCGCTACTCAAATGGAGAGATTACCAAGTTTGGAAATTGATAATGATACAAAGAAAATCATAGCTGTAGAATTAATTAAATCACAGGCGTTTGATAACTTTTTAGCGAATAAATTTCCTGGTGTTAAACGTTATGGAGGAGAAGGTGCCGAGTCAATGATGGCGTTTTTCTCGGAGTTTTTTAAATTATCTTCAAAAGATAACATTGAGGAACTTGTCATTGCAATGCCACATCGAGGAAGACTTAATTTATTGACAGGAATGTTGAATTTTCCTCCGGTGAAGATGTTTATGAAGTTAAAAGGACAACCAGACTTCCCAACGAAATTTTCAGCGACTGGGGATGTCTTAAGTCATGTTAGTAAGTAATTTTTAACAAAATTACAAACACTTATTAAATTTTAACTTTTTTTAAAAGTTTCTTCAACGGATTTAAATATAAATGGGAATAACCTTCATGTTACGATGTTATACAACCCGTCGCACTTGGAAGCAGTTAATCCTGTCTCCATGGGTAAAACAAGAGCGAAATATTTATCACCTCCTGATGGTAGTGCAAGCAGTAAAGAATATTATTCTGGAGGCTTTGGAGGAAAGTTTGTTAATATACAAGTTCATGGAGATGCTGCTTTCGCAGGTCAAGGAATAAATCAAGAAACATTAGCGATTTCCAACTCACCACACTTTGAAATTGGTGGAAGTATTCACTTGGTTGTTAATAACCAAGTGGGTTTTACAACTCCAGGGGCCCGAGGGAGATCGTCAATGTATTGTACGGATTTAGCAAAGATGATTTCATCGCCTGTTATTCACGTCAACGGAGATTATCCTGAAGTAATGTTTAATGTATTATTGGTTGCATATATTACAAAAAATTCTATTTTATATTTTAGGATGTTTTAAAAGCTACCAGAATAGCTTTTGAATATCAGAGGAAATTTAGAAAAGATGTTTTTGTTGATATGAATTGTTATAGACAATGGGGACATAATGAACTTGATGATCCCACCTTCACAAACCCTGCGCAGTATAAATTAATCACAAACAGAAAGTAAGAATTAAAAAATTTATAGAAAAACTAGCTTTAACCCGCGGCTTCGCTCGCGAAAATCTAAAATAATGAAGTTGGTTCCGTACGCGTCTGTAGTCACAGAAGAAGTAACAATTAAGTAGAATGGCGGGAAGTTTAAAATGGCTGAAAGTATAGTCTATGGAAGTATAGTGTACAGTCTCCATAGTGTAGTCAATTGGATTTGATGTTGACGTAGCTGTCGGTAATACAGTGTGATAATACAGTGTGATGGTACTATAGTACTTAGGTTTGAGCTTCATTGCTGGAATGCTAGATGGCGTTAAAGTAGTCAAATAGCCAGATGCAGAGGTATTATTGGCTAAACAATTTCTTTATTTTATTTAAAAAATATTTTTTTTATTAAATAAAAAGTAGCCTATAACCATTCGGGGACCACTAAGAATATGTGTACAAATTTTCATGATGATAAGTTAAGTAGTTTTTGCGTGAAAGTGTAACAAACTTCAGGACTTTCGCATTTATAATATTAGTAGGGATTGAAAAAATTTAAAATTTCAGAACCGTACCAGATAAATATTCAGAAAAAATGATAAAAGAAAACATAATGACCCAAAATGAACGTCAGGACCTTATACAAAACCATAACAATTGGTTAAATGAAGAATTACGAATGGTTGATAGTTATACCCCTGAAGATCCATGTTTTACCCGTCAATGGACAGGGTTTACTCAGGCTAAGGACCAAATTACTGTTTGGGATACAGGAATTAGTCAAGAAGTACAAAAATACATCGGGGAAAAATCCATTGCATACCCTGAATCTTTCGTAAGTTCTTTTTTCAGAAAATTTTATATCCAAATGATGACCAAACGTATTTATTTAGAATATCCACCCGAATCTCCTTAAAAACTACGTATATTCTCGAAAAAAACGCTTGGAATCTGGTAAGAATATAGACTGGGCTACAGCTGAAGCCTTCGCCCTAGGATCCCTAATCTACCAAGGTTATAACGTGCGGATAAGTGGACAAGATGTCGGCCGTGCAACATTTTCACACAGACATTGCATGCTGGTCGACCAGGAAACAAACCAAATGTATATCCCCTTCAATAACATTGATCCCAATCAAACTGGGCATCTTGAAGTGGCAAATAGTATTCTCTCCGAGGAAGCAGTCCTGGGTTTCGAATATGGCATGAGTGTAGAGAACCCTAACAATTTGATCATCTGGGAAGCCCAGTTCGGGGACTTCTTCAACACTGCGCAGGTTATTTTCGATACTTTTATCACCAGTGGAGAGTGTAAATGGTTATGGTCCTCTGGAATTACCATTATGTTACCACATGGGTATGATGGGGCAGGTCCCGAGCATAGTTCTTGTAGATTAGAAAGATTTCTACAATTGACTGATTCCCATGAGGATAGACCTGATGGTGATAATGTGAATATGCAGGTGTGTCAACCAAGCACACCAGCACAATATTTTCATCTCCTGAGGAGGCAGATGGTGAGGAACTTCCGGAAACCTTTGATTATCATCACTCCGAAAACATTACTGAGATTATCCGCTTGTACTTCAAGTTATTCTGACATGGAGGAAGGTACCTCCTTTAGACCTGTCTTGGGTGATCCAAATATTGATCCCAGATTGGTCAAAAAAGTGATTTTATGTTCCGGAAAGCATTATTATACCTTGTTTGATAAAAGGGAGTCTCTGAATGTGAGAGATGTGGCTTTGGTGAGGTTAGAAAGTTTCTGCCCTTTCCCAACTCATGAATTACAAGCGGAATTGTCGAAATATCCTAACGTTACGAAGTTTGTTTGGAGTCAGGAGGAACCTAGGAATATGGGTGCGTGGAGTTTTGTGAAAACACGAATGGAGAACTTGGTTGGTAAAAGGGTGGTGTATGCTGGTCGTGGTACCCTACCTACGCCAGCTGTGGGTGTAGGTAATTGGCATCAGGAGCAAGTCCAACAAGTTGCTTCCCAACCTTTTGAGATCTAATTTTTAAGAGATGAAATAAATTTGTATTTAAAATATTCATGGTGTTCTCGATCAATTTGTGGTTTTGACCAGTGGCGTAGCGTGCCTTGTCGGGGCCCCGTATAAATTTTTTTTTGGGGGCCCTTATATGGAGGTAAAGGTTTTTCCTTACACACTTTGGGGGCCCCCGTGGCCCAGGGGCCCCGTATAATTGATACGGCAAATATGGCGGTAGCTACGCCCCTGGTTTTGACCCTTGTGTGAGTCCCTTTGGCGCAGCGGATAGCGCGTTGGACTTCTAATCCAAAGGTCGTGGGTTCGATCCCCACAAGGGATGCATTTTAGTAAATTTTGCGAATTTAATGTTTTTAAAGTTAAACTACACAATTTCTGGAGGTTTAGAAATAGTAAATAAGATACCTCCATTGTTGGAAGTACTAGCGCCATCTATGGAATATTTTCAGTAAAATTAACTAAGGTCTTCCCAATAGATGGTACTTTAAAAGTTCTACATGAAAAATACAAAGCAATTCGCTTATAAGGGGCCAGGTAAGCAGCCAAAGGCATACTTACCTGGCGTAGGGGTTACCGTGATCAATAAGGCGGTTCCCCCAGGGTGAGGCCCTCCCATTGCACTACGGCTGGGCTGACCCCTGCGATTATCCCTAATGTGGATAACTCGGGCGCGCAATTTTTGGTAGTCGGGACTGCGTACGCGCTGTCCCGGTATAATAACAATCAAATATAACTTTACAAACCTCTGAAATGGTCATTCTCCTTCAAAAATCAATTTTATGTAACAGAATCTAGATTCCTTTTTGAATTTCTGCGAGAAACCCGTAAAACGTGGGCGTTTGAATTTTTCCTGTCACCTTGAACTCAATAAGAGAAGAGCTAACATAATATTGGAGTGCAGGTTATGGAAAACATGAATGTGTTCTGTTTAAAACGAAATTTAAAACGTTTCCAAACAAAACAAACAACCTTATCGTTGTAATGACGCATAGTCCACATTACAAAGCCAACCATTGAACCATTGATTGACTTCGTGAACTGTGAACTTTTGCATTCCACTTACAATGGTCCAAAACACAGAGCTCAACAACCACATCACAACAATTAACTAAAATAAGTGCAATATCAGTGCAATATCATCAGAACCCAACAAAATAGGTATGTCCACTCAAACATTAACCAAATCAACAAATTTAAACAAATTCACAATTTAGAATACAAAACATGTCACCTCCTAAGCATCTCAGTAAAGAAACACTAATAATATGGGAAGGATGGAGAAAAATGGGTCTCAGAGAAGTTGTAAGAGAATCAGCTGCAAAAGGCTCCCATGTAGAGCTAGCTTACACATTTCTCCAGCAAAAGAAGCATGTATCACTTGACAACATCAAACAATGGTTTAAAGAAGAAGTCATTGAATGGGCAATGGAACTCCTACAAAACAAGCAAATCTTTCGAGCATCTCACATACTCAAAAACATTAACCTGGATCCATTCACTGAAATCACCAACATAATGTTGAATACACCAGATGTGGACAACATGAACTTCTTGGCTAGTCATCTAGAGAAGAATGGACAATTAAATGAAGAATTTAAGCTAAATATGAGACTGTTTAATATTATTATGAATGATAATGATGCACTGACTGCTTTCAAACAGAAAACAGCCAATGAAGTCACTTTGAAGATGTTGATTGACTGTGATACTGAATGGAAAGCTAAACTAGTGGCTAAATTATTTTTAAAATACTATGGTAAACATTATATTCATATTTATTATGACACATATTTTATTTTAAAACTTTTAGATTTTACTTTATCTCCTTTACTAACTGCATCGTTTTTGTGGACAAGTGCTCTGGAATCAAATGATAAACCATTCCTAAAAATATGGCTTGATGTACAAAATGGATGTGTTTTTGACCACAGTGAAGAAAATCAACTGACTATGATACTATCGGAATTACAGATAAGTGAACAAATGTATTCTTATTTATTACAAAGTACTGATATTCATGTTGAGACAAAAGAGTTTGTTTATGATACACTGTCAAAATATGGAATATTCAACTCTGAGGAATTGAAAGACATAAGAAAAATACTTGCGAGAACAAGCAAAAACACTTTGAATGAAAATTTAGAAGAAATTCTTTCACAGTCATCAGCAAATTTAACCTATGACAACTTTAAACAACAACTAAGAGACTATTGTGTTGCAAACAACATGTTTATTGCTTTGGATGCATGTCTACCAGATGAAGACTATCTATATTCATCTGACAATCAAATATTAACTCTGTTGAAGTCATGTAAAGATATATCACACAATCCAAACAATCGACAAGTGCTTGCTGTTAACTTACAAGAAATCAACACATTTATTAATCAACCAGAAGAAAAATTCCAAGCATTATTGCAGTTAATATTAACAAAACTAACTGGAGATAACATACAGAAGTTCCTCTTGAATAATTCAAACATTTTAAGAGTTTTACCAACAATAGAAACATTTCTGAGCAAAATATTAACCAATATTCCATCAAGTGGTATAACTAGGTTTGATTTATTGCGAAAACACTTCAAAATCGACGTGGAGGATTTGTTTCCATATCGTTTTAATCAAGGAATCATTGAGAGACCGAATTTTAAGTCGGAACAATTGGTACAAAGCTATGGACATCATAAAATACTCGATTATGCGACGTTTTTGTTTTATTGTCGGCCAGGAAAAGCATTAAAACTCGCAGAGAAGGAAAATTTGAATATTGTTGAGCGAAACGTGCGTCGTTTGTTGATTAAAAACTTTAAACGTGATGACATAGCTGCATCTTGTTTATATTTCCTCGATTGTCTGAATATAAAGACAAACGAATTAAAAATTGAGCTTGCAGCTGCTAAATTACTACATGAACGTGGAAAAACACAAAATGAAGTTAAAACTTTATTCTTAAATGGAAAAACATACGAAATTGTAAAGTTATATGAAGAAAACCTATTTCCAACAACAAATGATGAATTTATTGATAACTATATACAACTAGAGTTAGTAATTAAGTTAGCAATTCACTATGGATGCAAATTACCTGAATTATACTTGGAACAACTTGCAATTGCCTCAAAATGGCCGGAATTTCTGTTTATCATACACAAATTTGATTATCCACAAGAACAAGTGAATAAATTAGTAACACACTTTACAAATCATGCACTATATGATCATTTATCACATGCTTTGGCGCATGATTTAGTTATAGAACAAAAAATGTATTGCTACGTGATAGAGACGCTCGAAAGTTTTTCCTCGCAAGAATCGGATTGTTGAAACACATGGAAAGTGATATGATGTCAAGTGTTACTTCACAATCAAGTTGGGGAAGCAATACATCCAGTAGTGGTTTATCAGATTACATCAGTGAAGTTGAATGTTCAGATGACAATCGAACTGATTTACTACAAGTGTTAATTCGATGCCACAATAGTAATGATCCTCCAAAAGCACTGCTTTATGCTTGTCAATATTATAAATATCCATTACTCGCTGTGTTAGCAACAACTTATGAACCTGACTCGGTTGTAACATGCTGGTTGACTTGGTTGAGCATTTCATGTGAAATTGAAGTTGAAGCTTGTGAGCGTTTAGCAACTGTTGGTCATATGGTTACTAATTTTCTACAAAAAGTTGCTGAGAAACGTTTTTACAAAACCCTGCGACAAAGTTTGTGTATATTTTTACTTGTAAGTATTGAAAATTTCATTTTTAGTTAAATATAAGAAAAAATAGTTTAGTTTAATATTTTATTGTTTCTTTTTAGGATAATCCCCTGAAGAACTTTCTAGACTTTCTAGTAGATTGTCAATATTTAAACTTTGATGATAAATCACAAAATGAAGACCTAAAATACTTCCATGACAAGTTAAAGATGAAACGTTCGAACAGTTATGTGCCAGAGATAGATCATGATATGTTATATCTCAATAATAAATTGTGGATTGAGAACACAGCGATTACTCTACTGGCAACAGCGTTAAACAATCAAGACAAACCTTATCAACGTGTGCAACTGTTAAAAGTAATCATGGATTTAAACTTGCAGCAATATTTCATCAGCAGTCTACCAAATTTAACGAATCTCTATGAATATTTTAATTACTTTTATGAGCGGAAAATCATCGTCCAGCTGGATTTTAATAAATTATTCGACGCTAATCATTATCACGATGAAATCAAGACTTGTATATTGACAATGTTGGCTGCAGAGAAGTACAAAGAGGCTTTGAAAGGTCGCACAAGTTGAAAATGTGCTTGTTGATGAGATATTGATGAAGAAATGGAGTGATTCCAGTAGAGAAGAACAAGAAACCGAGCAGTATTGGATAAAATGTGATAATGAATTTAAAAAGTATGCGATTTCACCGGAAAACGCTGTGAAATTCTATAAAAATACAAAGATAAACGATGAAATACTGCGGTATAAAATCCTCACGTTGTCCTACACCTGGTGTCGAAACTTTAAACTTCAAAACCAGCAAGAAGTTGAGTTGGAAATGTGGTTGAGTTATTTAAAATTAACTCAACCGAATATTTCTATACAAATTGATAAAGAAACTAACAAGTCTTACTTAGAAATGAAGACTGAAATCGACCAAATCACATCTGAACTTTGTGATGAATTATCACCGACAGAAACTGAGAAACTTGATGTTGTAGTTCATAAATTGCTACAATCAGGGTCGATTTTTCAAGCATTGCGTCTACAAAAACTGTTTTCTACCTACAATAATGTCAATTTAGACATATTCAGACTTTGTTATACTCTAGCAGAAGGAATAACTCTACCTATACAACTCTCAGCGCAAGAACGTTTGTTAATCCGCAAAGTAAAAAACAATCGCACTTATAGCCACCGCAGAAAACCGTTGTTTTCATTCCGTTTATCAAATTCAACATCAAGAAGCCCTGCATCTAGTTTTGGCACATTACTAGATGTTGAACCGAAAGTTCAGGACACATTATCTCTCCTAGAAAATCTCATTGAAGGACTTACAAGTGGAATGGAACTCGGTGAAAGTATCCTGATGACTTATCGCATAAGCATCAACACAGATATTTCTTATAATAACATTTTATCCATAGAAGATCCAACTGTGTTGTTGCTGAATGCAGTGAAATCAAATTGTGTGAATAAAATCGAAGTCGCACATGATTTCTTCTGCATTTACAACTGGAATAAAGAACAGGTATCTTTTTAAACTTATATAACCTATAAAACATTAAATTTGAATTGTTTTTTGCTTTAGATTGCTGATTTCTTGTGTGAACAACTTGTAACAGCTGTAAATACTTGCACAAAGTCAAAACAAGGATCAAACATGATGTGGGACGTGAATTTAGACCAAGAAATCCATCTTATTCTACAATTACTACCAGATGCTTGTTCCAAACTCGGAATTAAGTTGTATTCATATTGCAGTGCTCTGCACAAAGCAATAACAGTCACCAACGAGATGACAAACATGTTTGAACTGACTGTGGTCATAGAATTGTTAATCTTGAGCCATGAGTGTTATACATATGATTGCAACATGGAAGGCATATCAATAATCCTCAAAAAGTGTCAGACTTTGATAAATTTACTCCTGGCACTTAAAAATTGGTCTTTGATCGTTCGTTTACTCACTGGTGTTGGACGATACAACGAATTAAACTATGTCTTTCATATTCTACGTGATCACGACCAATTTGAGTTTTTATTGCGGAAAGGAAGTGCGAAAGACAACGGTTTACGTGTAGCACTCTTAGATTATTTGAAAAAGTTCTGTCCAGATAATCGCACGCTGTACGAAATGGTCGCGTTGTATTTTTCATTGTATTCTGAAGTTGCACAGTTGTGGGAAGCTGAATCCCGGCAGTCGATTAAGAATCTCATCGCCATTTCCAAACTGGAGATGATCAACAGAAAAATCAACCCGGATGAATGTATTTTTGTCGAGTTTAGTAACACGGAAGGAACGAAAATATGTCTGAGTAAAGTTATGGAGAACTACAGTCATGCAGCTGAATATCATCTACAAGGGGAAAAACTAGCGAAAGCTATGAATGCTGCACGTCAAGCTGAACTCATTGCCTTACAAATTTCACTGATTAAAGCTGTGCCTACAAATGCAGCAACAAATTGCATACTGAATCTGACCTCGCTGCAAATTGCAGCGTTATTTTCAACATTAAGGTTTGTTGTGTTTTATATCTTTGTCAGCATTATAATAATCATTATTTTGTTATTATTACAGCTTTCAACAAGCTCTAATCGTCACAGAAGCCTTTAGTTACCAACCAGACTGGGCACAGATTTTATTTGAACATTTCATCGTTAAAAACGACTCCAAATACTTTGATAACTACCTGATGACGTTTAATATCACTGATAGTTTAGTCCACAACTTATCCAGACATTATTTAGCTAAAAATATTAACACTGAGCATGGTGCTCGTAACATGAAGATGGTTCTTAAGTTATTACCATTGATTCACTTACAATATAGAATTGCAAGTGAGTTGGGCTTCTCAGACATGGTTGAAAAGCTGTTGAACAGTGACAAATTGAATTATCTCAAAGATACGGTGTGGAAACGTGGTTATCGCGAATAATATCCAAAGATTTTTAATGATTTTATGTAAATATGCAGATTTAAATATGTTAGTATTAAATATAAACACTTGATGGCGCTGCATGTCCATTGAGAACATTTTAATCCAAGAAAAGAATTTTATATTCTCGTCAGATGTCGCTGTATGCCTGTATTTTAACATGGCCGATGAAAAAATATCCATGTTGAATTTTATCTGTGTTTACAAACACGTTGTAATCTATAAAGATAAATGCGTGTGCATCGGCGTTGAATTTACACGTTTTGACTTGATTCCTGCTAGCGAATTTTATATTTATAAAACTTACGTCAAAACTGGTCAAAACCAAAACGTTTCACGTTTTATCATGAACTCATCAAGATGCATGAGCATGAATTGTGTCACGTTATTATACATTAATGTATTTCAATCACGATTAAGTGCATTAAATACAATTCGTAATGATGCATTAAAACGTGTTGTAGATTAAACAGTATTTAACGCCTCAAGGTTAAACACTGCAGCAATTTAGTTGCCTATTGATATATAATATTAAAACATAATGTGATTAATTGAGCGGCATGAAGAGGGAAGCAGGAATGAAATCCATCATTCGACGAGGGTTTCGTATCTGCGATGTCAATAAAGTAAACTTTGGACGAAAATTAATGGACATTTCTCTATATCGGCGCGCGGTGACAAGCGCAAACTATCAATCAGCCCCTCCGAAAACCGCCGCTGCGCAAATTACTGAATTCCGCATGCAAAAACCCGCCGCCCGGATCGCGGAGGCGGCACACAATGCCGCGATTGCGTAACGACGACGCCGTCGGCATCGCGCCAATGGAGGCGGCGGCGGCGATGCCACAATAGACGTGTTCGCCGCCCCTCCCTCGCGCGCATCGGCGCACGATCGTTAATCTTATTCCTGCCTACACAGAATGTAATTATTCGGTGTTATATACGTCAGCTTCGGATGTATATACCCGTTACAAGCGATATTTAGATAGGAAACACATTTCGGCATCGACGCGCTCGGAAAAAACACAAACGCGTTGCGAATGAAGTGATGAAAGGGTGGTGAAACATTCCACTTTCACCCCTGGTATACTAACATCATTAATTCAAGCAAATTAAATAAATGCCACGCATAATATGTGCAAAATTGCTTTCAAAGCGATTTTATTGCGTTGAAAACAATGTTTTTATAGATAAATCGTATATTTATGTAATCAGGTATAAAAACCAAGTGATATTATACTTACAGAAGTATATTTCACCCCTAGGAAGAGTCTGTTTCAGCCCACGACACTTTTAACGACTTTTCAGTTCACTTTTTCGTCAAACAATGAAAAAAATGGCTGAATACGCTTGTCGGGTACAATTTGCGCGTCGTATAACTGGTTGCCTATAACATTGACACGTATAGTACGCCACCTTGCGTAAAAATTACAAAGTTTAAATGAAAAAGTAAATATTTTGTTTTAAATTAAAGAAAAAAACATATTTTATCCAACAAGGTGGTTAAACATACCACTTTCACCCCTGAGACAACAAAATCATTAATTCAAGCAAGTTAAATAAATGCCACGCTATTAATACATGTAAAATATTTATGTGATTAATTCTCAACAAAGAGAAGCATCGCAAATGAGCGGCCCGGGCTTAATTACAGACGCAGACACCTTATCCGTCGTGATGTGCTTTTCACGGAGCGTTTCTCATTTTTATTCTTTGTACACTCGTTTACAAGCACACAATGTGTTTATTCATGTTGGTGTAAGTGTTAAAAGAAATTTTCCGCTTTGTTTAATACTCTACCGCATGTTGCCGACAATCCAAGCACTGAATTCCGATCGCATATTATATTGTGAGCATTTAGGAGATTTAATATTTGAGCGCAACAGGCTGCGTTATTGATGGCGCGTTGTTGTCCGCTCGAAAATCATCAAGATCTGCGGACCGAAGCGCACGGAGCGTTAAACAAGCGAGAAGTGGAAGATATCAAGAGCCATTAGCACCAAGGGTCATCAATTAATCATAAAACACACCGGGCTCCGCCTCACTTATATAAATGATGTGTAATTTAGAAAAGATTACATGCTTTATAAAGAATATACATTATTAAATCACCTACTAATCGTTCCAGTTTGGGAATTTGCACGTTTATCGCAGAGAATCGGTGTTTTCATACTGAAAAAATAGGTAAATAGTATTTTTATATAACTAGATAAAAGATACAAACGTATTTCATCTTTTGGAACTCTCTACAAGTGTTTTTTTAGTGATTTATTCGTTTAAACACAAAAAACTTTGAATACGATTGACAGTTACCATATGTAAGGTGTATAACTGGTTGCCTACATATTGCCACGTATACATTGCCAACCTGCGTAAAAATTTCAAATAAAAATAAAATATTCTGTTTTAAATGAAAGAAAAACATATTTAAACTGTCATATCCGCCTGGGTCTTTGAGTCCTGTAGGATGACATCTCATATGTGCGCTTTATAAATTTAATTTATAATTAAATCACCTACTAATCGTTCCAGTTTGGGAATTTGCACGTTTATCGCAGAAAATCGGTGTTTTCTTACTAAAAAAATAGATAAACAGTATTTTTATATAACTAGATAAAAGATACAAACTTATTTCAACCTTTAAAACTCTCTACAAGTTGTTTTTTAGTGATTTACTAATTTAAACACAAAAAACTTTGAATACGACTGACAGTTACCATATGTGAGGTGTATAACTAGTTGCCTACATATTACCACGTATACATTACTAACCTGCGTAAAAATTTCAAATTAAAAACAAAATATTCGGTTTTAAATGAAAGAAAAACATATTTAAACCGTCATTTTGTGCTCGCCAGGGTCTTTGAGCCCTGTAGGGTGACATTCCATATGTACTATCCATGATATTATTCCATCCAATGCACATTTTATTGCCTATATAACATTAACGAGATTTTAATCTGCAAACATCGACAGTGATCGCAATAACAGCCCCGCAGGAAATAAAACACGCTGGCCAGCACACACAGCGGCAACCACCCAACCAATAAAATTACCTACATACATAATAATAATGCAGCCACGTCGGCGCACCACGTCTTTTTTGCATTCGCTGAGGGAATAATAAAAATAAAATGGAAAATCAATCTCTTGCTACGTCAAAATTCATAAATCATTTTTCATTTTTTCCACTCACGTACACACCGCGCTTTTATAATTAACTCCAGGTGGTGTAAAACAAACATCTAGATGGCGCTGTTTTATTTTTATATAAATTGTGATTTCAAAGCAACTTTCTCCGTTTTCTGCTTAATTAAATATTCGAATGTCAAACGAAACGCAAACAGCATTATAATGTATATTTAATCAATTACACATTAGAAATTCTTCAATCTATTGATGTACGACAAATATGGGTGTGTGATTTGATTAAAGAGAAATTTATTACTTTATGCCTAATGACATTCCACGCGGATGGAATAAACGACAATTAGCAAATCACGACAATACTTTCTCAAGCACAACACACTCGTAATTCAATTATATTATTGTCTATCGCGTCGCAAATGTCAAGTTAGTAAACATCTGTTGTTTACACCGAGTGTCACTCATAGTATTGTGTAATGTTGGTTGCATACCACAACAAGATTGGTTATCCCTACTAATATTATAAATGCGAAAGTCCTGATGTTTGTTATACTTTCAAGCAAAAACTACTAAACCGATCATCATGAAAATTTGTACACATATTCTTAGTGGTCCCCGAATGGTTATAGGCTACTTTTTATTTAATAAAAAAAATTATTTTTAAATAAAATAAAGAAATTGTTTAGCCAATAATACCTCTGCATCTGGCTATTTGACTACTTTAACGCCATCTAGCATTCCAGCAATGAAGCTCAAACCTTGCTTTTGGTATATATTGCGAGTGTGGTTAATTGATATTGACAATTGCATGCGACCTTTTCATTGTGAATTGTAATAATTGTTTTTGAAAAACTATCTTCTAACACACGGAATGGTATATTACATACCTAGAATGGAAAATAATGAATTACACACTCCAAAACAGTGCAGAAATGTGTGTTTTCGAGTTGTGGCATTAAAAAACGCACAATTTTAGTAATATTTTAGTAAATAATTAATTTCTTTGTTTTTCGCTTGAAATATTAAAGATGCTTCAATTTTATATAAAAATCAATCCGAATTCAAGGGTCTTTAAGTTTACAAACTATTAGACAGAAAAATAAGCCAAAAACAAACAATTTTACTCAAATAAAACCAAATAAAAGCACAATTTGAGTGATATTTACTTTCCGCAACAAAATCCCTACTAATATTATAAATGCGAAAGTCCTGATGTTTGTTGCACTTTCACGCAAAAACTACTTAACCGATCATCATGAAAATTTGTACACATATTCTTAGTGATCCCCGAATGGTTATAGGCTACTTTTTATTTAATAAAAAAAATTATTTTTTAAATAAAATAAGAAATTGTTTAGCCAATAATACCTCTGCATCTGGCTATTTGACAACTTTAACGCCATCTAGCATTCCAGCAATGAAGCTCAAACCTAAGTACTATAGTACCATCACACTGTATTATCACACTGTTTTACCGACAGCTACGTCAACATCAAATCCAATTGACTACACTATGGAGACTGTACACTATACTTCCATAGACTATACTTTCAGCCATTTTAAACTTCCCGCCATTCAACTTCATTGTTACTTCTTCTGTGACTACCGACGCGTACGGTTAAAGCTAATATTCATATATTCACGCAGTATAATTATAATTTGTATCTATATGATTGTTGATTGTTAAATTGTTTGTTTTGTTGGTGTTTTGCGCATAATGCGGGCGAAGGCCAAGGGTTTTTACATGCCTCCCTCATCGCTGTCACAAACTCTTTGTAGATATGAGTAATACAAGCATAAACAGTTTAATTTATTAGCTGCGCGAACAAAACACTAATAAAATCTTTATTTGGCGTGTTTACCTTGCGCGAATTCGCATGTGGAAACTATGTGGATAGGTAAAAGGAAGTTATTAAATTTCAATGTTTGATTATCGATATGGACGTCATGCGGTACGAGCGTATGTATGTCGGCATTTCCTAATTGATATTGAGGTTCTCCGATAAGTACATAAAATTGATTCAATATTTGAGTCATTGTTTCTTCCAAGACGTGCGGCGCCGAATGGGAATTGATTTGGAGTGGCCACAACCCATCCGCTACGCGTTTTTTTTTATGTCCTTAACTATAGATAAGTAATATTGCTAATGTTAATATTGGTTTTAGATTTAAGTGTTCATTGTTAGATATTTCATGTTTAGATAAATTAAATTTTGAGAATTTGTGTGTCAGATTTGGTGTATTTTGGGTTGCAGCACAAGAATTTATTGTCAGATTGACATAGAAATGAATTTAGGCATGTTTTTAAGAGTTTTAATATAATAAACACTCAGTATATTAAAGTTATGCGTCTAATTTCAACATAAAATAAAGTTTTCTAAATTTTTTTCAACCAAATATCACAAAAAATAAAAATTTAGTGTTTCTGTTTATTTTAATCAAAAATCACAAAACTCAAAATAGTTATTCTAATTTCAACATAAAATAAAGTTTTCTTAATTTTTTCAACCAAAAATCACAAAAAATAAAAATTTTGTGTTTTTGTTGATTTATACGTGTATTTTGGGTTGCAGCATACGCACACACTAATAAAATAATTTTCCCGCGTTGTAATTTTAATAAAACATCAAAATTCGATTAACCACAAACAAAAACGTTTTTATAACCACAAAATAAATTTTCTCATGTAAGTAATACGTCTTGTAAAATATAAAACTCGGGAATACTTGTTTAAATTAATGTTTTACTAAATATTTACACTGAATGGTAAACCTGAGGTTATCAATATAAGAAGGCATAAATTTGAAGCATCCACCTAAGTACTCATCGATGATAATTTTTTCGTCTGGCGCACTTGCTCAAACATAAACTCGTTCAGACAGAAATGCACGCGCACACACACACCACACGCATGCGTGCATTAACTTATAGCGTATCGGCACATATCCATCAAACGGCGCGTCCGCGAAGAACTCCGCGCAGGCAGCATTGAACACGAGCATCGCACTCGCCGCGCTGCGGTTCGTTATGCCTCCTCCTCCGACGTTGTGCACACGAAATGGTCGCACCGTGCGAGAGATACATCGCTTCTCGACGCTGCCGCTGCTCTCTGTGTGTGTGTGTGTGTGCATTAACAACATATCTGAGTAATTAACAGGTTTGTATGAACCTATTTATGAAGTCTCGAACGCCCAGCCTATAAATGTTGAGTCAATATTGAACAATGCTCTTTCCTGAGAATCTCGGACGCTTCACGGGCCTCTACACACAACCGACGAGTAAAATTAACCTGAACCTTTAATATTCTGCGTTTTTTCTTTACCATCAACGCTTAAATTAAACTATAGGTTGTGTTATTGTGTAATATTGGTTGCATATCTTAATATTTTTATATGTACACACAAAAATCTGGACTGTCAAGCGTTAAATCAGAATATTGGTTGTTTGTGGTGTAATGTGTGTTGCATACCTTAAATATTTTCACATATATGTCTACTAATATTATAAATGCGAAAGTCCTGATGTTTGTTACACTTTCACGCGAAAACTACTTAACCGATCATCATGAATATTTGTACACATATTCTTAGTGGTCCCCGAATGGTTATAGGCTACTTTTTATTTAATAAAATTAATTATTTTTAAAATAAAATAAAGAAATTGTTTAGCCAATAATAGGGGAAGGTAGCCTAAATTGGACCAGCGCCTAAGTTGGACCACCACGATATCCGCGGACTGTTGATGTTTTTGCAAAAATAGACAGGCCCCTTGTTTTACTCGTATTTATAAACAATTGATGCAACTATTTGGGTTAAAACTTGCCGCGTGCTTTCGTCGTGACAACAACTTTTTGTATCCTTGATTATCAAATCTATTATAACGACGTAAGTGCATAAGCTGTCAAGCTGTTTAAACGTTAGATTTCACGATTATAATTATATCATCAGAAAGCTTATTTATTTATCTATAATTTATAGTATTAATTTGGAGAGGTTATGTTATATTAAGATTGTCGTTGATCATTAAATAAAAATTCTTCAAGGTGCCCAAGTTGGACCGGAGACAGGCACCGGGTTTTTACAGGGAAAACGTATATCATTTTTTTGATCTCTTAGAAAAGCTTGTGGACGAGCACAAATCTTCGAAATGATGCAGTGTATGAAATGCCGCACTTTGGTTTATACAAAATGTGCTTGTGTTTCTGCTAAAACTAAAATTTACTATTGTGTCAATTGTCGTTAAAAAAGCATAGTCCAATTTAGGAAACCGCGCGGTCCAATTTAGGAAACCGGTTTCTTAATTTGGACCAAAAACACAATTTTTTTAAATTGAAATTTGAGGGGTATAAATATAATTTTTACTTAAATCAAAAATATCATTTTGTTGGTAAGCCTTGTGAGTTACTTTTCCGCTACTTAATTTTTATGGACAGTTTATATGTGGCTCTATAAATCGAAAAATATAAAAATGGTCCAAATATGGCTACTTTCCCCTACTATAGTACCATCACACTGTATTATCACACTGTATTACCAACAGCTACGTCAACATCAAATCCAATTGACTACACTATGGAGACTGTACACTATACTTCCATAGACTATACTTTCAGCCATTTTAAACTTCCCGCCATTCTACTTCATTGTTACTTCTTCTGTGACTACAGACGCGTACGGAAGCAACTTCAATATTTTAGATATTCGCGAGCTAAAGCTAATCTTGTATAATTCACATTTTGACAGTTTTTAATGAAAAAAACGAACGCGTTGCATGTTTTCCCCTAAAAATCTCCGTGTGTAATTTCCATCTCGCTGAATTTCATGAATATTGTGCTTGTGTTGCTTGTTTCTTCTGGTATTGTGGTGCGTGTGCACAAACCGTCGATCATATTATTCGAAGTTGATGAACCGGACCGAGCGAAGGGATTAACTCGGCGCATCCAGCCGCGTCTAACATTGCCGACCGCGAAGGGTGGCGCTGATGACCTTGTCAACACCCGTGTGTGTGGCTTCTGTCTATTTTGTCTCCCTAAATAATCTCTTTTGTGTACATCTATAGATTATCCCCCGTTTTCGTTATTAATTGCCGGTTTCGTGGAAAAATTTAATGATTTTCGCATAAATTCAACTGGTTTATCAACTATTTCAATATTCTCACACTTTAACACAATATATTTGTGATTTATATGATCTGTGAAGTGTAATATGTGATTTAATTGGTAAAATATCATTGTTTTGATGTTTCAAGTCATATTTTTGATTATTTTGACATTTTTGCATAAATTTCATGTCTTAGGATAGGTGTATGTTGGGTTGCAGCATGAAAATGTCAAAATAACATGAAAAATTTAATGATTTTCGCATAAATTCAACGGATTTATCAACAATTTAACTTTTTTCTCATTTTAACACAATATATTTGTGATTTATATGATCTGTGAAGTGTAGTAGGTATGTGAATTAATTGGTAAAATAACTTTTTTTTGCTTTCTCAAGTCATATTTTTGATTATTTTGACATTTTTACATAAATTTCATGTTTCAGGTTAAGTGTATATTGGGTTGCATCATCCAAATCTCATAATAACACAAAAAAAAATGATTTTCACATAAATTCAGCCGGTTTATCAACAATTTAACCTTTCTCACACTTTAGCCCGATACACGTGAGACATATATGATCTGCAGGGCGTATATATGTGAGTTAATTGTTACGTGCCCGGTTCGGACGAGAGCAGCGTAATTACAATGATTAAGGTAGCGCGCGCGCCGCTTTTGTTGTTGTTGCAGGCGCAGAAGGAGACGAAGAAGTCGAGGAAGGCGAAGCCACGCAGCCAGTGAACGCGAACCGCGCCAACGAGACGAGAATTAAGCGATGGCGCACATATTGGTAAGGTAGGGTTGTGTCGAGCTCGTCACGTGTGTAACTCGCACATAAATTAACATTTATAACACTTGCATATGCGAGTATGAGTGTACGAATGCCGAAACAAAGTAGAGAAAATTGTATTATCGGGCGCTGCGTCGTTTCTAAGAAGTGTGGCTGGTGTGTGAAATTATGGTAAATTTTAATATTCTGCACCAACGGCAGCAACAAAGCATATGTTATGAAATTGTATTACATAATTTGGTAGATTATTTCGTTATTAAGTGTATTGCAAGCTGCAAAAGTATTATTTTTTATTTTTTTGTCTAAATTTTGTTTTATTTTTTGTTTTAGTTTTTTTGCTTTTGGGGGCGTACCACAATTCGGAGGAAGTTGAGTTTTGGTGAGTGTAATCTACATTAAATTTACTATAAAATGATGTATAATTTGTTTTTCTATCTTTTTAAATAACTGAGTTATCGCATTAAAAAGTTGGAAGTTTTTTTTTTTTAATTTTAAAAAATCTAAAATTTTTTGCGTTTTTTTGTAAATATCTCACAAATGATAAATTTTGATAAATTTTTATCTATCACATTTTATACTTTATATAATTATCTACCAACTGCAAAAAAAATTGTTCCGTTATCACTAATAGTATAGGAGATATCACAATTTTAAATTCATAATATGACAAATTTTATAAAATTACATTTTTCCGATTTACTCAAAAACTAAAATTCCTACAAAAACCAAACTATTACCAAACATAAACCATAAAATTCTCTTTTAAACAACATTTGATTCAATTTCCTATCATTTTTACTTATCGCGTAATTCCAGTTCAAACAAGTAAAATTTATAACAAAAAAATAAAAATAACACAACATTAATTCCACCTAGAATCAATGCGTCATACACGTGCTAATTAAAAAAAAACCCAACATATTAATATCCATATTCCACACGTCTATATCTAGTTTATTCATTTTTTATATTTCTATTATTCTCAACATTGAAGAACACGCAGTTTATCGTTGGCGAACATTCTCTATCGCACACGAGCGCTCTGCGTTATCAATAATTACATATACATTTATACGATACAGTTAATTAGCATATTTTAATACGTTGTACTTTACCGCACGGCGTACACTTAGATATCGAGTGAATTAGAACGACACTAACACCTATCCGGGGTGTAATAACGAAAAAATTTATTATTATTATGACAGAAGCTTAAACAAACAAAAACCAACACCTAATTATTCATTTGCGCTATATTTCACATTAAAAACCACACAGCGTGTTTGTTATCAATGTAATTTGTTACTTGAGAAGGTAAAATCAGTAAAAAATACCTGAACACATTGTATGTTGAATATTCTATCCGCAAAGATAGTAAAACTAAGTCAAAGCGTATATGAAAATAAAATGCAATAAGTAAAAAGTATAAAACGTACAATATAGATAGCGCGGAATCGAAATTGAAATGCGGCTAGAATTTAGTGCCTTTTATAATGACTCTGCGGTTTATGCCATGGCGAGGAATATAAATGCGACCTCACTTTTTAAATATTTATGTATTTATATGGTTCTCTATTTATAATATTGTTGTTATATCGGGCTGTTATCAGGCCTCATTTATCGCGCGATGGTTATGCCATGTTATTTTTTTATATAATCGATACTCACAAGTTACAGTTATGCGCCTACTTACGGCGTAGAATAACATTTTCCTGCTTTTTTGATTTATGTTTCTATTATTTTCAGTTTTGTGTTTAAGGTTAGCTGTATTTTGGGTTGCAGCACACTTGTATGGTAGAGAAATGAACTAAAATGAGAATAAAATCAGAATAATCGCTAATTTGGGTGATAATTTTATAAGAGGTTATGCCACGTTGTTATTTTATATGATTTATACTCACAAATTACAGTTACAGTCTTATTAGGGGGTTAAAATGATGTTTTTCTGCTTTTTAAACTATATTTGTGATGATTCAGTCCAAATATGTCAATGTAGTATGAACTGAGTGAAAGGTTAGGTGTATTGTGGGTTGCAGCACACTTGTATGGTAGAGAAATGAACTAAAATGAGAATAAAATTAGAAAAATCGCGAATTTTGGTGTTACTTTTATAAGAGGTTATGCCACGTTGGTATTTTATATGATTTATACTCACTAGTTACAGTTATGGGTTTACTTGGGGCTAAAAATTATGTTTTTCTGCGTTTTAAACTATATTTGTGATGATTCAGTAGAATTCTGTCAATGAGGTATGAACTGAATGAAAGGTTAGGTGTATTGTGGGTTGCAGTACACTTGTATGGTAAAGAAATGAACTAAAATGAGAATAAAATAAGAATAAACGCGAATTTTGGTGATATTTTTATAAGAGGTTATGCCACGTTGGTATTTTATATATTTATACTCACAAATTACAGTTACAGGCTTACTTAGGGGTTAAAAAGATGTTTTTCTGCTTTTTAAACTATATTTGTGATGATTCAGTCGAATTCTGTCAATGTAGTGTGAACAGAGTGAAAGGTTAGGTGTATTGTGGGTTGCGGCATGCGTACATCTTAACAAAAAGAGGGGAAATGTTCTCCAACATCACAAACATCAAATTAACGCGTAATTTATATAAAATCATTCACAAATGATGATTAAACATCTAAATACAAAGAAAAACACAAATTTTCGTCTTTTTACTATAAAATTTTATTTATTCTGTCAAATATTTCGCGTGTATTTTGGGTTGCATCACGCGAATTCATCCGTAAAATAAGCTTGCGTGCCGTGGGCAGGAAAAAGGTGTGATTGGATTGGATAACGGCGCATAATAAAAACATATCATTATATCGGCGAAGTGATCCCCCGACCGCCGGCTGCAACACGCCCCATGCCTACAACACCGCAAGCCACTCCTGTGCCGCCGTCGAGCTTTCACGTCTCTCGCTCTCGCGCCGAATCCCCGCGTCACGAGACTAAACCCGGCGCGGAGAATAAAAGTAGGGGAAGTGCAGGGATCGCGCGCGCGATGCTCGTGCGCCGTGCCCAGTGCCGCTCTTGGTCGCCGTCATTCTCGACACGCCGCGTCGGCTCGCCACATCGCACGCACCGCACATTCAAAAGTATTCAACTACGCCAGCATTACCCATTTTGATTTTGATCAATTCACCGGATTTAAAAACATACAGTGTGTGCGCGGGGAATACAATACAAAATACAACTTAAACGTGTAGTGTGTGTGTTTAATTAGTGATTAAAAACTTGAAAAATCAAAAAAAAAGAAAAACAAAATAATTTGCTTCTCAATTGAGAGAAGTGAAAAACACGTGTGTTGTTTGTATTTGTGTGCATTGTGTGCGCAGGGTGCACGCCCTGCCACTGGACAAGGCGGCAAGATTCGCGTCAAAAATCGAGAACCGGTGCCGGTCTACGCCATGGAAATGGAACGGGACAGGGAGCAGGAGCAGGAACGCGACAGTGATATCGGCGAAGAGAGTCCAGTGGTAAGTTAAACTTACGGAATATCAAACAATATTGTGGTTGGTTGGGTGGTGAGCGAGGCGTCGCGACGCATTGTGATTACGAGTATGCGCACACGCGATTTGATATCAGTTTGATCAGCAGGCGCAGATCTGGGGGGCCCCCCACAGCAGGATCTCCTGCGACGTCGATTGGCCGCGGGTTTTATAACGCCGACACGCCTTGCGCATCTCTCATTGGAACACTTTGATACGATCCAATCGAAAGCTCACTTTGGCAAAAAATCGAAAACTAAAGCTTGGTGGAAATTCGTCTGTAACTTTTGATAGGAAGGTGTTATCTGTGATGTTTTTTTGATAAGAGTTTTGGAATTTGATATTCTATTGATTACTGAAAGAATTTTAGGGATTGGTTTATTAGTTTTGGCGTAATTAACGATTTTGTGACAATTTTTTGGTCTCGTTGGTCAAATGCAGTAATTAATTTGTTTACGGTATAAAAATCGTGATAATCTCGTTATTGTTTGTGATATTTTGATTATTCTTTTGAAACTTGATTAAGAATTAAATTCTGCATGTAATTCAAAAAAGATTTTGTTGATGCGATTTTTATAAACAAAGTTATAAACAATTAAAGTAGGAAAACGCGAAAAAAAGTAAAATTTGTAGATAAAGCCCTGTAACTTTTGATAAAAAAAGTGTTGTCAATGATATTTTTGCAGAAACAGATTCAGAATTTAATATTTTATTGATTACTAAAGGTATTTTAGGGATTGGTTTATTAGTTTTTACGTAATTAACAATTTTGTGAAAAATTTTGGTTCTCGTTGGTCAAATGCAGTAATTAACTTGTTTACTATATAAAAATCGTGATAATTTGTTTATTATTGATGATATTGTTATTATTTTTTTATAGTTAGATGAAGAATTAAATTGTACGTATGATTCTGAAGAGTTTTTGTTGATGCGATTGTTATAAACAAAGTTATAAACAATTAAAATAGGGAATTGCAAAAAAATGAAAATTTGTAGATAAAGCTCTGTAACTTTTGATAAAAAAGTGTAATCAATGATATTTTTACAGAAACAGATTCAGAATTTAATATTTTATTGATTATTGAAGGAATTTTTAAAATCGGTTTACTAGTTTAGGCGTAATTGATGTTTAAGTGTAAATTAAATTTTTTCTTTAATCAATCACACAAATTAACTTGATTATTATACAAAAATTGTGATCATTTCTTTATTAATTAAGATATTGTGATTATTCTTTCACAATTAGATTAACAATTAAATTCTACGCCTGATTCTGAAAGACTTTTGAAGATATCTTTGTTATTAACTTAGTTATAAACAATTAAAGTTTGGTATAGTTGCAAATGCAAAATTTTCACAAATTAGCTTATAACTATTAACAAAAAATTGATATCAACAATATTTCTTCAATATATTATTCAGAATTAAATTATTAATTGACTAGTAAAGAAATTTTCAAGATATCTTGAATACTTTACTCGCAATTCTCATTTAAAGTTTAATTTTCTCATTATTCTTTTATCAAACGTGCAAATTAACATGTTTTCAACACAAAAATCATGATAACTTTTTTACTAACACTGATAATATGATAATTCTTTCAAAATTAGATAAAGAATTAAATACTTTACACAATCCCAAAAAATTTACCCTACGATTATTACAAACAAAGTTATACACAATCAAAATTTCAACTTAAATTTTTAAAAATTTCAAATCACTTTTCATTACACATGTAATTTATTTCCACCGCATGGAAACACGAAAAAAAAAATAAACCGTTTAATTGTTTGGCCCAGCGCCAAATTAGTAAATAACGAAATATTCATGTTTATATTTATATATACCAATATAAAATTGTTTTGGTTTTCGTTCTGGTTTGCTTTGTTGATTAAAATAATCGCGTTCACGAATCTCCGGTCGACATAAGTCACGTGACGCACGACGACGCGCTCAGCATTCTCAGCGACTCCCAGCCACCATGGCGAGGCGAGTGCCTATCGATATATTTCCGATGATAAAGATCTATATTCAATATTGTCTGCTCGCATCAATCTCGGATGGCCCGCCGAAGACTAATTGAGTTCATTTTCTGAGCTGACAGATTTCATCTGTTATAAATTGATATCTCAGTCAAACAAAAGCGGAAATGTTTGCTGGAAGACTCGTAAATCTATCAAGTTTTCGAATTGCCCAAAAATTATTCGTACATCTGGCTGCGCGATTTCATAAAATCTGTTCTTGAGGGCGTACACACATGTTGAACACATTTCTGAAGATATTCGACTTCATTATATCCGGTTTGCGTGCATATTATGATTATTACCATTGAAAATACGTAAATTTTCATTCGAAAACAAATTTTTCGAGTTTTTCTTGAATTTGATTAATGTTTTTATTGCTGTCTGTTATACTATACTTTATGCATGCCTGTGTGTTTTGTGTATGTGTGTGTTTTGAGAGCATTACGCAGTGTTTATTTTCGTAAGCTATTAAGTACACACATAAGTTGTAATAATTAAAATTAAAGCGCTGCAGTAAGGCGCACACAGTTAGCTTAATTAAACGTCTGCGCAGACGGCGAAGAAATCGGTATAAACAAATTTCCAATTAAAATTCGTATATGCAGCGCGTATAATTACGAAAATGTTACAATTACGCACACCCGGACGGCCGAATGCTAGACAAATAAATTACAGTCGTTAAAGACGCGCCCGAATTCAATTGAGACATCAATAAAGGGCGAATAATTACCGGATGCGCAGGTTTGGGTTTAATTTCAGCTTTTTTTCGGTGTCAAATCACAAATTGACTTGTTTACTCGACAAAAATCGTGATAATTTCTTTATTAATCATGGTATTTACTTCGTTTTTTATAATTAGATTAAGAATTAAATTTTGCATTTATTTTTAAAAAGATTTTGTTGATGCGATTGTTATAAACAAAGTTATAAACAATTAAAGTTAGACATAGTTGCGAGTGGAAAATATTCACAAATTAGCCTATAACTTTTGATAAAAAATAGTTATCAACAATATTTTTGCACTAAAATATTCAGAATTTATTTGTTAATTAAATACTGAAGAAATTTTTAAGATAACTTTATTTGTTTCGACGTAATTGGCATTTAGGTTTAACTTTTGTTTTTTTCCGGTGTTACACGCTCTCAGTAACTTGCTTGCGCCACAAAAATTGTGATAACTTTTTTATTAATCATGATATTGTACTAATTTTTCCAAATTCGATTAAGAATTAAATTCTCCATCTAATTGCAAAAAGATTTTGTTTGTGTCATTGTTATAAACAATGTTATAAATAATTAAAGTTAAACATAGTTGCGAATGGAAAATATGCACAAATTAGCCTATAACTTTTGACAGAAAATAGTTATCAATAATATTTTTGTGCTCAAATACTCAGAAATTATTTGTTAATTGATTACTGAAGAAATTTTTAAGATATCTTTATTTGTTTCGACGTAATTGGCATTTAGGTTTAATTTTGTTTTGTTCCTGTATCACACGCTCTCATTAACTTTTTTGCAGTACAAAAATCATGATAACTTCTTCATTAATCATGATATTGTTCTAATTTATTAAAATTTGATTAAGAATTAAATTGTCCACTTAATTATAAAAAAATTTTGTTGATACAATTATTATAAACAAAGTTATAAACAATTAAAGATAAAAAATCAAAAAAATGTTAAATCTGCACAAAACACCCTGTAACTCTTGTTAAAAAACAGTTATCAACAATATATTTACATAAATAAATTAAGAATTTAACTGTTAATCGATAATTGAAAAAGTTTTAATGATGCGTCTTTTATTCCCACCGCAGTTTAACAAAAACTAAATTAAAAATAGAATGTTCTCCAACAACATAAAAGTGAAACTCTATTTTCTAATTTTTAATTGAATTTAATATTTAATGGAGAAAAACACAGTCACTTATATTCATGAAACTCTTGCATGTTTCTTGTAAATACATCTTGATTGCATATTGGTAGTTAAATCAGGCTGGCTTCAATCGGTACAACATGATTACAATGTACATGATCGCGCGATCATAATGAACATTTACAGTTTACGATAATTCATTCATTTAATGGCGATTTATGAACGATAAATCGCAGTTCGCAATTGGGCGCGCAACAAATACCCGCATGCAGTGCACGGGCACACAGGTAGAGAGAGAGTCAGCGTATTCCAAGATTTGCCAACAATAGATGGATTAAATAAAATTTCGGAATTTCGACGATCATAAACACCACAACACTAATATTAAGACTAATCCGCACACAATATCGCCCACAGCAATAAACCCTTGCCCTTATAGAAGTCGGAATTTTGCACGAAAATATAATTAAAAAACAATTAGCAATTAAATCTGTTTTTGATATGGAGTAATCACTGTTTGAGTGACCCGTAGATTCACATTGTTTTAATTGCAGGCATGGCGGTTAAAAGTTGACATTTGTCACTTGGTTCATCATGACGGTGACGCTGACTCATGAGGGTATAACTATAACCATCATTAAATTCATTAAGATTAAGATATTTGTACAAATCTCAACGTTTTAATTGGACAAATTACCAGAGCCCAAATTAGTTGTTATAACTGTTTGCTGGGAATCAGAATAAAAGAAATAATTCGTATTTTTCTCATTTCTTCTGTTCTAAGTGGTTTATTAGGTCAAAACGCGCATGCGCACAATACTAAAGTAAATTCTCCATTTATTTATGCAAAAATATTATTTCTAACTGTTTTTTATCAGGAGTTACAGGGTGTTTTGTGTAGATTTTACATTTTTATTTTCTAATTTTAATTGTTTATAACTTTGTTTGTAATAAACGTAACAACAAAATCTTTTTTTAGTTTGATGGAGAATTTAATTCTTAACCTAGTTTTGAAAAATGAAAATAATATTATGATTAATAAAAGAATTATCACGATTTTTGTGATGCAAACAAGTTAATAAGAG